GTCACCTACATCTTGGATGCCCTGGGGGTAAGCAGATAAACATCCAATTTTCATTTTTGGGTGAACCATCCCTTTAAACACACCTCTGAATAAAACCATCGTCTATTTACATTAAAAACAGTACAATCCAATAAAATATGCTTCACAGTCATTTTCGTTTGGCAAGTAAGGCATGATGGTGGTTCTACACCTTTTAATAAATATCCATGTGTAAATCTTGTGTGACCTAAAAGACTCCTTGTAAAGACAACCTGGTCGTACCTAGATTTAAAATGAGTAAAAAAATTTTTTTTCTTACACTAGGATTTGTTTCATATAGCTTATTTTCATGACATTTATCCCATTCCATCTGCCACATGTCATTAATAAGAGTTTATCACAGGTTTGACATCACAAAAAGGAATTTGACACTCGGAAATATTCAGTTTGAGTGCTTCTTTTGCAGTGATACCTGATTTACAAGCTATTTATAAGCGAAGGAAAGCAAGGAAAAGACACAGTGATACCAGTATTACCGGTGCGGTCACACGTCGATTAACCGGTGGGAAAATTTCCTCATCGTCACAACCCTAACCGGAAGTACCCGAGACGAAATGCTTACTTTGAGAGCCAGTGCAGACAGGTTGCTGGTCACGTTGCATTTGAAGCTGAGCTGGCGCTCCGGGTTGATGTCGGGGTCTCTGGGAGAGAAATGGGCCACGGGTGTGCGCTCCGGTGAGAGCTTCTGGAACAGAGTGCAGGTCATTCCATTGAAGCTGCTGGCCTTGATGGCATGAGCCTCCAGAGCAATGTTGTGAGAGTTCTGGTGAAACAGATGAGAGGAAAGAAGAATGATTACAATATCATGCACATGTTACTGAATGACTGTGAACACCAGGTCTCCTTCAAACTACTCCATAACAATCTACACTTTTAATCAGCGAGGATGCATTAAATTGGTGAAAAGTGACAGCATTTATAATGTTACAAAATATTTTGTTCCCACTTTATATTAGGCGTCTTTAACTATGTGCTACGTAGAATGTACTTATTTTGGTCATGTTGTATTGCAAAACACTTTTGCTGTTATTGAGGTGGGATCTGGTTGAGGTTACTTTTACTATTATGTAGAATGTACTTATTTTGGTCATGTTGTATTGCAAAACACTTTTGCTGTTATTGAGGTGGGATCTGGTTGAGGTTAGTGACAGGTTTGGTGATTTGGTTAGGTTTAAGGGCTAGAAGTTGGTTTAAAAGATGTGAATACAGAAATAAATTACAGATGTATTTACATCCAGGTATTTTTTATATTTACTTTCAATGTCAGTACATAGTAGTTAAAGACACTTGATATAAAGTGGGTCCAAGGTTTCTATTTAAAATACATTTAAAATGTATCACGGTTATGTTACCACATAAATATGAAGCAGCACAACTGTCTTCAGCATTCATAATAACCAGAAATGTTTCTTGAGCAGTAAATCAGCATATTATACTGATTTCTGAAGGATCATGTGACACTGAAGACTGGAGTAATGATGCTGAAAATTCAGCTTTGATCACAGGAATAAATTACATTTTAAAATATTCACATATTCATATATGAAATAGCTTTTGAAAACTGCAAAAACTTTCACAATATTAATGTTTACACTTTATTTTTGATCACATAATTGCAGCCTTTGGAAGCAGAAGTAGTGTAACCTATATTTTGTGTTTGAAAATGGTTTAAAATATAAAGGGTTCAACATAAAGACACTTTTTTTAAAGACACTTTTTTCAGTTTAAATAAGTTATATAAACTGTTCAACTGCTGAAAAAAATATAGAATTTATTATTTTTATAATCTGCACACATCTCGTCTAAACATACTAACCCTGAACTGTAATCCAATTGAAGTTTTCCAATTGAAGTAATGTAAAACATTACTATTTTTCCAGTGATTCAGAGATATTTATCATTGCTGTTAGAATGCACAAAACTGAAATACTTGCATAGGTATATATATATATATATATATCAAGAGGCCTAATCTTCCAGTCATGATTCAGAACTGCAGATAGTAAGTGAAACGGCATCAAATGTCTGTATTTTGTTGGCAATCAGAGCTCAAGTGCTCGGCAACCTTTAGCTCCGCCCACGGCGCGCCTCCAGGACCAGGAGCAGGCCTACAGCAGAGACAAGGGAAGGAGGAGTCTTGAGGGAGGCTTGGCTTCTGTACCCAGGTAGATGACTGACCAAGATGGAGCTGGCAGAGGTAGAGACTAAAGCTAGGGCTGATTAATGGCGATTAATCGCATCCAAAATAAAAGATTTTGTTTTCATAATATATGTGTGTGTACTGTGTATATTTATTATGTATATATAAATACACACACATGCATGTATATATTTAAGAAAAATATGTTATATGTGTATATTAAATATATTTATATATAATATAAATTATATAAATATATACATGTAAATATTTTCAAAATGTATAATGTGTAATGTATAATGAGTGTGTATTTATATATACATAATAAATATACACAGTACACACACATATATTACATAAACAATTTTTTTTATTTTGGATGCGATTAATCGCGATTAATCGTTTGACAGCACTACTAAATTCCTAAACAAAATCACATAACCGATGCAAAATCGTGAGGCAAGTCAAATTTAATAAGGTGCCCTTGCAATATGTGAGATGTTGAACCAGATCCCTGCGCAGGTGTTACATGATAACATTTCCCCTCAACACTAAGTGAAGTGCAACCTGATCCTGCAAAATAGCTTTTACGTTCCTCTGTGGCCCAGTGTCCAAATCCTATCTGCGCCTCTCCTCACTGATTGAACCGTAAAAGCCTGTTTGTTCTCCAGAGATGAGGAGAGTCACGAACCGAGGTGGCCAACAGGTGCTTTAAATGGGCGGTTCTCAACCTTTCTGACTACAAGACGCCCCTTTGTACACAACAGCATTCATTAAGGCTTTTTATTTACTCGAGCTCTTCCAGTTAAAATAAATATTAGACATTTTAGGTTAAGTTTAGCATAACAGATTTTAGTTTTCAACAGTGTTATTGTGTAACTAAGACTAACACTAATAAAAATCATTTTCAGTAATTGAAATAAAGCTGAAATAAAACTAACTAATTATTAGAAGAAAAAAAAATGCATTTAATTCAAGTAGTTGCCAAGGCAGCATTTCTAGTTTGTTAGTTTAAACTGAAGTACTAAAAATAAAACCAAAACAGAAATGAACGAACGAACGAATGAATAACATTAAGCTTTTATTCATTTTAATGATTAATTTTCCAAATCTGGAAATAACACTTTTAAAATTCTGACAATTTTGACTGAGACTACTAATAATTAACTGAAATAATGCATAAATAAAATAAAAACATGAATATTTGATGAAAAACTTAAATGAAAAATGTGAAGTGCTGCATTGGTAAATAACTGAAATAAGTCTAAGCTAAAATTAAACTTAAATCAGAAATAAAAGAAGCAATATTAAAGAAATTTAAATATTATATTACTATCTTATTTATATTTAACTATATAAATACAAAAATAAAAACTATCATATTATATAAATATTACAAACATACTGGTAACTGAGAGCACATTTGAATCAGAGTTATTTTTCAAAATGTACAATAAAAAAAAAATAATAATAATCACACTTTTAAATTTTAAACGTTTTTCACTTTTTACTTTTAAATTCTCAATTTTTTTTAATTCTCCTAAATATCCAAGTTTTCTAAGACTGTGGGAATCCTGGTTTTTCACTGAACAGCTGAGGATGTCAATAAAATAAATATCTTGTTATTTTGTCATCTTGAGGTCCCGTCTGCTTTAAATTCCCTGGAAATGAGGCCTTATGTGATTTGTCTCAGAATGACTGTTGAAGTGTTTACAGTGGGTACGGAAAGTATTCAGACCCCCTTAAATTTTTCACTCTTTGTTATATTGCAGCCATTTGCTAAAATCATTTAAGTTAATTTTTTTCAGAGGCATCTGACATACGAGGGAAAAAAGAAATAAAATTAAGAAAATGAGAACAAACACAGAAGAATCAAATATTATGTCTGACATAAACCACTAAAAAAGGTGCATGATGAGGATTAAACACAGAATACTGCATGGCTCAACTGCTTTGCCCAATGCAAAGTTACACTTATCTACCTGGTTGATGATATAAAGCACACGCGTGACGTCTTTCATATATTCACAGCGCGAGTAGTCGTCCTCTGCCCACTGTCCACTGCGGCCACATCGCCTCCACGCACGTCGATCTTCCGTCGAGCTGCCCGAGAAAATGCCAGCTCCGCTCACCTGCCGTTTACAGGGCAAGTACGCCGTAATGCCAGCCAGTGTCCGAGGCCATCTGCATACAGACACGTTCAATACATGTTCATGCACGACAAAGGAAGTACCAATCTGTCTGTGATGTTGCATAGAAATAAATAGCCTTAAATGGGAATATATTTGTTTTGATTTAACAGAATATGCAATAAAAAAGTCTAAAAATAAATGGAAGTTTAAGCTTGTGCTGTAATATGTAGCACTTAGATCTGTTACCACTAGAGTGCAGCAAAGAGCTAACAAATACATTGTTTTGATATCTTCAGCAATATATACACAACTGATTCAATGATCTAAATCTATGCTAATCATATTTATACTGTTTTTTTTTTTACTTTTAACACCTTTACTAAAGCAAAGTTTAGAATCAGGGAGATGTTTCTGAAAGGAATTACTACTTTTATTCAATAAGCTTGCACTAAATTGACCAAAAGTGAAAGTGAAGACATTTTTGATGCTAGAAAATCAGCAAATCAGCATATGTGACCCTGGACCACAAAACCAGTCATAAAAGTCAATTTTTTGAAATTGAGATTTTTACATCATCTGAAAATAAGCTTTCCATTGATGTATGGTTTTTTAGGATCGGACAATATTTGGCTGAGATACAACTATTTGAAAATCTGGAATCTGAGGGTGCAAAAAAATCAAAACAGACCCTATATGACTTGATTTGATTTGACTCGCCTCTTTATACTTCTCGGCAAACTTGCCGATCTTCTCGATCATCTCGGCTACAAAGATCACATCCACCTTGTCAGAGAAGTTGGGCGCCTCTGCGGTGTAAGCCAACAGCTGCTGCGCCGTCTGAACCGCATTGGTCAGATTCAGAGGCATCTGACATACGAGGGAAAAAAGAAATAAAATTAAGAAAATGAGAACAAACACAGAAGAATCAAATATTATGTCTGACATAAACCACTAAAAAAGGTGCATGATGAGGATTAAACACAGAATACTGCATGGCTCAACTGCTTTGCCCAATGCAAAGTTACACTTATCTACCTGGTTGATGATATAAAGCACACGCGTGACGTCTTTCATATATTCACAGCGCGAGTAGTCGTCCTCTGCCCACTGTCCACTGCGGCCACATCGCCTCCACGCACGTCGATCTTCCGTCGAGCTGCCCGAGAAAATGCCAGCTCCGCTCACCTGCCGTTTACAGGGCAAGTACGCCGTAATGCCAGCCAGTGTCCGAGGCCATCTGCATACAGACACGTTCAATACATGTTAATGCACGACAAAGGAAGTACCAATCTGTCTGTGATGTTGCATAGAAATAAATAGCCTTAAATGGGAATATCTTTGTTTTGATTTAACAGAATATGCAATAAAAAAAGTCTAAAAATAAATGAAAGTTTAAGCTTGTGCTGTAATATTTAGCACTTAGATCTGTTACCACTAGAGTGCAGCAAAGAGCTAAAAAAGACATTGTTTTGATATCTTCAGCAATGTATACACAACTGATTCAATGATCTAAATCTATGCTAATCATATTTATACTGTTTTTTTTTTACTTTTAACACCTTTACTAAAGCAAAGTTTAGAATCAGGGAGATGTTTCTGAAAGGAATTACTACTTTTATTCAATAAGCTTGCACTAAATTGACCAAAAGTGAAAGTGAAGACATTTTTGATGCTAGAAAATCAGCAAATCAGCATATGTGACCCTGGACCACAAAACCAGTCATAAAAGTCAATTTTTTGAAATTGAGATTTTTACATCATCTGAAAATAAGCTTTCCATTGATGTATGGTTTTTTAGGATCGGTTGCATATTGGCTGTTTATTAATACTTAATAAACCACTTATTAATGCCTTATTCTGCATGACCATATTTTAGATCCCTTAACCATACCTAAACGTAACAACTACCTTACTAACTATAATATAAGCAGCGAATCAGGAGTTTATTGAGGCACATGTTGTAGTTGATAGTTAGTTAATGGTGAGAATTGGACCTTAAAGTAAAGTGCGACTGAAAATTGCAGGGGAAATGAAGGAATGCATTTTTGCACAAAGCCTTGCTTATCCTCACACCCTGTTTTTAATAAATTCTGCAAACAATCACTCTATGTAATGTAATTCATACGATACTGTAATGAAAAATATCTCAAGATATTGCCTCCATCCCTACCTCAGTATTCTGCATCACTCAACCGAGAATCTCCAAAATCACATTAAAACATGACGTTTCAATATTTCTTATGTGAGACTGAGATGTTCGGTACCATGGACATGGTTATTCCAAAGTACCAGGGTATCATCACAGTATTTTTGTAGGTGACTTCCTTCCACAAACCCAGCAGAGACCCACATGCCCTAGAGAATCAGAGGATGGCTAGTCTCCATAACTCTCCTCCCTCAGCAGAAGGACAGAGGAGAAAGAGAGGAGAGGTTTTGTGCCAGAACAACCATCCGTTTACCCGCACTGACTTCCAGAATTCTGCGCGACACACATGCACACACGCGGCCACAAGTCAGCAACAGGAAGTGACCACTGAGTGTTCTGGGTCAATTTTTATCTTGTACTCAAAAAGATTTGTGTTTACTTTAACTGAGCAATTTCTGAAGGATCATGTGACACTAAAGACTGGAGTAATGTTGCTGAAAATTCAGTTTTGCATCACAGGAATAAATTACATTTTTACATTTATATTACAATAAAAAAGTATTTTAAATGGTAATAATATTTCAGTTTTTTACTCTATTTTTGATCAAATAAACACAGCCTTGGTGAGCAGTAGAGACTTTCAAAAACACTGAAGTTTTAGCGACTCCAAACTGTGAACAGCATCATATGATCAGATGTGCACTGGACTCACCTGTAGTCCCCCTTGTTGTTTGACACCCGATCTGGCAAGCAGTATTTGGCAGAGCTCTCCAGAACCACGATGTGGACCGTCCTAGTGTTGTTTCCTCGACTGGTGCGCACGCGACACTCCCAGTTCCCCGTGAATCCCGGCTGGATGTTGGAAATGGTCAAGGCGCTGTGTGAGGACAAATCAAACGAGACAAAAACTGTTGCTCTGGGAGAAAAGTCAAGATTATGAATTTAGCATACAGATGAGTATTTAACAGTGTTATTGTTATTTGAAACTAAAAGTAAAACCATTACAAAACTTCTGAAATAAAGCTGGGGGGGGGGACTATAAACATTATATGAAAACCTAAAATTTAAGAAATGTGCCTTGAAAACTAATTGAAACAAGTTTTAGTTAAAGTACTAAAATTGAAAAATAAATGAGCTGTACAGAAATAATTTAGCTACAGTTTTTGCTAGATAACATATAGATTGATCTCAAAGAAAAAATCAAGATTACGAATTTATCACTCAGTAATACACACACACACACACACACACACACGTGTACAGACATACATGTACACACATACATATACATACATACATATATATGTGTATATATATATATATATATATATATATATATATATACACGCACATACACACACACACACACATTATAGACAGACAGACAGATATAGAAATGTTTCTTTTAAATAAATGCCTTTAAATAAATAAGTTTTAGATGAAGTACTAAAATTGCTAAAATAAAAAAACTGTAAAATCTAAAAAATATATAATATATATATATAAAAGTCTCATTAGGAGTACAAAACTAGTAAAATTGTTTAAAAAAATAAATAAAATAGAATTACTACAACTGAAGCTAAAATAAACAAGAAAACTAAAAATATGAATATTTTGAATTAGCTTTTATTTTTATAAATACTATAATTAGTACAAATACTACTAAAATAGCACCGGTATTCAAAAGGATGCTTTGGCAGGATATACAACCTACATTTTTCTTCCTTTAAGAACAATGCATGGCTTTTTTAAGTTCTGGCATTTTCCAGCACAATGCTGATAGATCAAGTGTGAGTTTATATTTCAGGTATATGTATCGTCAAGCTCCAAGGCAAACACTGTTCACAGTGTGATTCATGCATGTCTAGTGTGCAGAAAAGCCATTCTGCAGTCAGTATTGGGTTTGGTATCTCCTTCATAGCTGGCTTCTATTACCTGGCTATTAAAGAGCAATTCTGCACCATGCTTTTCTCTATGTAGATGCCCTGAGTGGCATCAGGTTCCACCATCTTCCCGTCCTGATACCACAGAACCTGCATGTCCTCGTCCACGAAAGAGGCCATGCACTGAAACGGCAGGCTGTCTCCCTGGAAGACGATCTGATGCTGGGACGGAGTCATCTGGAAGGAGGGAAGCTCTAGAGGAGCGTCTAAAATAGAGAAGGGAGAAAATCAAAAGAGAGAGGAAGAAAAACACTGTGGTGAGCCACAGATGACTGCTATGTGCAAAAGCTGACATTAACGAGTGATCCGAGAGCAGTTTCATTGTAGTTCTTGCACAAGCTATGGTTACAAAAGTCCAAAATCAACATAAACGGGAGGCCTGAACCAAGGCTGAAGGTCTTTTATAGCAGGATTACTTTGCTTTTGGTGGAGGAGAGCATGTCTGTATTAGTAAAAGAACAGGAAATCAATGGTTTTGAGCTTTTTTCAATCACCAATCATGTATTCTTTTCCACTAATTTAGATATTAGACTATTAGAAACAGTGTAATTTTACTATAAAAGATTAGAGATTTAACGTGCAATGTGTCACAGGTCATGGAAAGGTAAGGTCTGGTTACTCTTATCAGACTACATGTTGCACAATGTCATTAAAACATAACAAAATAAGGCACTTATCTCCTTTAATCTAGTTTCTGTTTGCTAACAATTTAGGCAAAACCTGACCTATTTGCACATGTATGCAGTGTTGTTTGTTAACCAAAACTAAAACTATTATAAACGGTTTCATGATTTGAAATAAAAATTAAAAATAGAAATGTTATGTTAGCAACTAAATGAAATAAAAATACATAAGAAAATAAAGCAAATCTTAAGAAAAGAACATTTTAATAAAGCTGAATAGAAATATTAAAATAAATAAATAAATAAAAATAAGCACACAACAAAATTACTAAACCCTAAACTAACATTAAAAGGAAAACTGAAAATACATTAGGAAATAGCATAATTGAATATAAATAATACTAAAATAACACATTGTTAGAACCAAATCCTAAAACATATATTTAATAATTATGATGAGAAATATCATAAACACACAACAAAATTACAAAAAATAAAATAAAATTTAAAATGAAAACAGAAAGTGTGAAAATAAAATCTAAATCAAAATATTAACAAATATATAGACAAAATAATACAATTAATCCTAAAATACTCAGAAATAATAATCAGAAATACAAAAATATAAAAAGCTAATTAAAAATATTTAAAATAAATACAATAATAAAATCAAACAATAAATAAACACTGATTATTGGAATATTAATACGAATATTTACTGATTATAATGAGAAATATATTTCATATATTTAAATAAATATAAACACATTATTGCTATTATTAAATTTACATTTAAATAACTTCTAAAGTTTACAAGAAAATAAAATACAAAAAAACTATTTTAAGACAAAAAAAAGAAAAGCAGAATAATAAGAAAAAACAAATAAAAATAAAATATAATTTGTGTGAAGGTTAGAAAATATCTTTAGTTTCAGTATAAAACAACAGAAGTTAGTGGATAGTGAGTGTGTATTCTTACCACAGGTGAGTGTTTCGGGCCTGAGCGAGGTTATCAGCTGACCCTGTAGGGAGCGAGGGAACGAGCAGCGAGTCTCCTTCACCCCGATCGCCTTCTCTTTGATCCAGACCACCAGCCATCGCAGGTTACAGTCGCACAGAAGATAAGGGCTATCAAACTCCCTAAAAATGTATACAGCATGTTCAAAAATCATAAAAACTCCATCAGAGCCAATGATAAGATCACAAGAACATTCCTTTCGACAGAGTGTGGGTCAACAGATGCATTAAATTCAGGTCTGAGGGTAAATTCTGGATGGCCCCTATCAAGCATAAACATGTCTAGAGACATGCCAAGTGTTTCAAAACCTTATCTCGAGTGTTAATGAAGTTAATGAATATGAAGCGCGTAAACACAGACATTAATAATCTGCATTTATTTTAGGTGGCCATTTGTGCTTCCACTGTAATTTTATGTGCAAATGATGCAAAGTAAAACAAAACACTTACAGTATTTTCAGAGAGCCAAGGCTGTCGAAAATCCCTTGAGAGAGTGAAGAAAACTTGTTCTCTGAAAGATTACTACAATAAAAAAGGGGGAATTAATGAGCAAAATGTACTATGCTAAATGGAAACTGATGTATCATGAGTCATTTTTTGCACTGGAAAAAAAACAGTAAATATCACCAACCATTACAAAGAAATAGCAAGCAACACATGTAATTAAACATGAAAGTTTGAATTACAAAAAAAACAATAAATAGTATTGTTTTGTAAAATGTACTCCAAAATAATCTTTGTTTCAGGATTATTCAAGTTAACTACAACTAAAACCATAAAACATGTTACTTGAAATAAAATCAACTTTATATATTTATTTTAATTTAATTTCCGCTAGTTGCAACATTTCTCATTTTGATTTGGTCTATTTTGATGCACTAAAATAAAATATTAAAAATACGAAATAAATAATAAAATAATAAATAAATAACAATAAACATACTAAATACAAAAAAAAAAAACTTACACTGAATAAAAAATCAAACTAATCAT